ATGTTTAACCCCGAACCTAGGGTCTATTTTTTAGTTCCTACATGATTCATTTTTCATGATGGCTCCCCAAACAAATTGGCACAACTTTTCAAAAAAAAAACCTGTGGTAAACTAACATAACTATATATGGAAAATCACCATGTTCAATGGGTAAATCAACTATTTCTATGGCCATGTTCAATAGCTATATTTGATGATGTTTGTTTAATTTTGTTTACATCAAAAATAAATGTCCATTTTCAATAGCTTTTTGTATGTCAGTCCCAGAAGGTGCATTTCCAGTCCCAGGGCTCCAGGAACAGCCATGAAAAACCGCATCATTCCCGGACCTGGCAATGGACAAGCGATGCTCCTCCAAGCCAGACTGGTACCACCACATCTTGCGATCCTTAGATGTGCGATGCAGGGGGCCATTGAAAGAAAAACACAGAAAAACACAGAAAAACACAGATTACAGTATCTCCATGTATCTCCAGTATTTTCCAGTAAGATCAGTAAGATTCCCCATTTCGAGTGGGTCAACCACAGGGAACATCATCAAGTCCACCATTTCGAGTGGGTCAAACAAATGGTATGCCCGGCCTGGTAAACTAACATAGCTATTGAAAATTGTCATTTATAGTGGATTTGCCCATTAAAATTGGTGATTTTCCATAGTTGCGTTAGTTTACCAGAGGGTAACCTCACAATATCCCAGCATTTTGAGTGGGTTACTGCTTAACGAATCCAAGGATCTGCTTGGTTTTTGCCGCGCATTGATGTAGGAGGAGTAAATCGATCCTGGTCCCGGTCAACAGTGGCTGCGTCCTGCAGTCGTGAAGGGCTCGTCTGCCAAGTAAGTATACGTTGTGTATATATATATATATATACATCATATTATTGCTTAGTATTCTGATCACAAGACATTTTTTGTTTTTTAATTATATGTATATGATATCACAATGTGTATGCATATACAAATGTATATATATATATATACATTATGTAATAATATTATATGTACTTAAATTTTATGTGCAAATCCGAATTTATGGCAAAAGATTCAAAAAACAAAGTTGGCCCAAAGAAGATTTATGCATATTTGAAGGCGACGTGGAAAATCATGATCCTACGCAAATGGCCTTGGAGTTTCAGAGGGCTGCCTCCAATCCTTTTTTTTGGTGGGAATTTCCTCCATCTCCATGGGATGATTGCCTGCAATCCCTCTCAGAATCCCATATGTTCATATATTTTCTGGCTTCTACCTCCCTCTTATCCCAAATCATCTTAAATCATCTCAAATCATCTTAAATCATCTTAAATCCTCTTAAATCCTCATCTCATCCCATATTTTGTGGCTCAAATCCCTAGATTGACCCACCCCACCCTGCCTGTAAGGCTCCAGCCGTCATCAATGGCACCTTGCCCCGTTTGGGGCTTTGGGATTTCTTCCCTCGTAGCTCTGGAGCAGACTTCACCATGGACATGGTCTTAGGGCCGTCCTTGCCGAGAATCCCAGGTTGGGAAACTCTGTAACTCCCATGGCTTTTGTTGGGAGTATAGATACCCCAATTGCTCCCATTTGTACCTTAGCTCCCTCCGAACCACTGGATAGTGTCTACATGTGGCTACATCCATTCTTTATGTACAACAGATTTCCTGCGAGACCAAGTGGTTATCTATGGTTATCTACTCAACTCTTTTCCTGACGAACTGTGGTAGATAAAAAGATATGTCAAAACATGCCACCATGAGACTCCAGCAAAGCTACAGGTTGTCAACAACAAGATGACATGACCATCTTCATGAACCCTATGGCCTGGGCACAACACAACAGCACAAGCCTCTGCTATTGGGGATACCAAATTTGTTCAGCAACAAATCGCATCAAATCTGCCTGCATATTGTATCACCAGTATCCTCATAAGCAGGTTGGTGAACATTCCCATCCAACTATATCCGCAACATTTTCCCATCGACTTGCTATGGGAAATCCTCATTGTTAATGATGATATTGTCACATTGATCTTCACGTCCAAGCAGCTGAAAGTTCCTTCAGCTCAGGCGCGTGGCTATGCCGGGCCTTGTCTCGTCTGGGTTGGATCCAACCGCTTCCGTTGAGAGCTGGAAGATATAACTCAGTCTTTGCCTCAGGTGCTGAATCGGCATGGGTGTCACTGGACATCTTGAATATGGGATTCTCTGAAAATGGGACATTTAACCCTCAAATTGACAACTTTAATAAGGAACATGATGATTTACTGGTGGAATTTGAGGTATTGCTGGTATAGCCTCTTTTTTGAGGGAAAACACATGAAGAACAAAAGCAAACGAAAACGTATCACATGGGTTAGCACTAGCTAGAAAACGCAAAAAATCAAGTGTTGAACAAAATCGTCAGGTTTGAGTTTCGTTTGCTTTGGGTGTTTCCTAGACTGGGGAACCACCTCCCCAGTCTAGAAGAAAGGTTTCGGTAGCCTTCTGCTGAGCCACTGGTGTGACAGGCCGTGGATCACCCTTCCGCGTCCCACGGTGAAAGGTCTGCCAAAATCCATGGATTCGGCGCAGGGGTTCGTCGCTGCTATCCACATCCTCATGTTTCGCCACCTGAGCCGCGGGCCCCCCTGGCTCCCCTGGTGTCAAGGGCCGAGGGTTGCCCATGAAGGCTGGCCTATGAAACTAATATAGAAACACGACAGTATGATAAACCATGGGATTTTCGCGTAACTGATTTCTAGACTCCTAGGCGCATTTTCTTGATGCCGGAGGACTATCCACCAAGGAACTAACTCCTTTATCTCTCTATCATCCTTCCAACTCAGTAGATTGATTTTGCAGGTGTTTGATCATTGAGTTGTTGTCCAGTCGAGCAAACCCGCGAACCCTGAGTCATGCCGAGTCTCCATGGCTTGTTGCAAGGCATCAGACTTGGCCTTTTCCAAGTGAAGGATGTAGTCCTGGAACGGTCACAGGAAATTCGAAAAATCACCCTACAAAACCTATGTGTTTTCTTGAAGGTTTTTGTGTTCTGGCAGAAAATCAGGCCGCTAAACTTCAAACCAGTGTTTTCCAAAATTTACTCAGGATATAATGCCACCAGTTCGTAGTAATACTTTGATAACTGAACAAAGTGATCTATATAAATGGCCAGTGTGGCAGCAGGGCTTTAACTGCTTTAACCTGTAATTGCCGACACTTGGACCGAATCTTGGTTAAGAAAACAACCTACAGTACCATTCACGGAGCAGTTTTCGATTCTGTGCATTTCTATTTGGTCCCATGCAGAAACATCCAACAAAGAAAAATCCCAAACCTGAAAACTAAGGCCACCTGGATGTGTCCCTGGAAAACATCTCCTCAAGTTCCGCTTCGACACAGCGCTCCATGTTGTGATGCATATGGATCCGCCGCGACAGTTCTTGCAGGATCTCCGGACGTGTGACCCACGCAGGGTGCTTCAACTTTTTCCAGAAAGTGGTCAGCAAATCCTGCCTTAATGGAAGGATAAAAATTCAAGAACCCACAGGGGCAATGCTTCAAACATCATGAATCCATATGACATGTTGGCGGTGTTGAACCACCAAATGTTGGGGGTTCCCTTTTAGGTGGGCACCCCAAATTTCCATGACAAAGCGTTGAGATATGCATCTGGTTCTGGGCCACCTATAATATTTTCATATATTTTCCAGATCCGAATAAGCACACTTGGGGGTGGTTCGCCACATGTATACGTATGTATATGATATACATAAATAATATACACACAGAACACTAAATATTAATCATACATACCATGCATATAGTATGCCACATAGTATGTATACACATATCTATGACATATATAAAATATATGACACATATAAAACAGTACATCTATTATCTATCTATCAATCTGTCTCTTTCTCTCTCTCTCTCTTTTTAAATATAAATACATAAGTATACTATACTGTAAAGACATCTATATTTAAAGAAATGCACTAAACTGTATAATGAACCAATATATACAAAATATCCATCATCTATAGTCATAATGTATACAACTATATATTATCAAACAATAAACCATCATCCCATGTCGTCCACGGTGTCATGGTGAGCTCAGCCCTAAACGGCGTGGCAACGGTCAGGTGACAACTTCCATTCGAGGCTCTCGAAGTTGATCAAGGCACGCGCATCCTGAAAAATCGCTGCCCATGGGCAGTCATGGCGAACTCCGCAGTTGCACACACATTAGGTATGTATAGACATATGCATCTACAATATATATATATATATGTATTGATGTTTATTGTGTATATGTATAATATATATGTATATGTATCTGATATAAAATATACCTAGGCCTTCCAACTAGCTATAAACATGCCGTTTTACCATCTAATTCAAGTACATCTGCCGGTATCTTTTGGTAGTTGGAGGATCTAGAAAAAGAGATAGAGAGAAAGAGCGAGAGAGAGAGAGAGAGAAAGAAAGAAAGAAAAAAGAAAGAAAAAAAGAATAAAAGAAAGAAAGAAAGAGAGAGAAAGAGAAAGAGTACCACCACCCAAGAAAACATGTTGGAACACACCAAATCTAAAAATGTGAAAAATTGCACCGTTTCTATCTTTTTGGGGGGTTGGTATTTGAGTGTTTTAGTTTGCGTACGCATCTATTTTTCTTCATGCGTGTTTTTTGTAAGTATATGTGCAAACAATATATAAATATATACATGTGATGTGGAGGCATGTAAAAATTGTATCCACACGAAGTGTGCGAACAATAACTACATACTGCATGGATATTTGCCTACCTAATTACCTGGAAACTAAATGATCCTTACATGATATGTTCATTGGTCAACCTTTGATTTTACGCTTCGAAGAGGTGGTTAGCAACATCACACCTGCCCTCTGGCAATCAAACATGGGAAAATCATGGAAAATCACTAAATATAGCGATATGTTTCCCATTCAAACCTCCGTTTTTTTTGCACACACATGTATGTATATATATATATACCCAAGTGTCATATTTCTGGGATTTCGCCATCTTTGATTCCTGGCAACCCGTTTTTCGCCCTTTTTCCCCTTTTTTCTCCCCCTAAAAGTAGGCGCCAGCTGGGCGCCTTGTAGCTCTTCAGCATCTTCAGCCCCGCTTCGCTCTGCGAGGCGCGCCGTGCCATGTTTTGTCGCGACTTGGCATCGCCTATGAGCCTGGGATGCGGATGGGCCGCCTGCCCCCACCGGTTCCTAGAAACCGGGGAATGGTGATTTAACCAACAAAAATGGTGATTTAACCAAACAAAATGGGGATTTCATGAGATAAATAGCTGAGATGACTTATGATTTGCTTTACGTTTCTGGAAGATAGAACTATAGTTCATAGGGGTTGGGGTTATATACCAACAAACATAACTTTTTTTTTATCATGGGGACGTCATGAATGGGGGATTGGTTGTCCTTAATGACCTTGTGTTTCCTTGATCATGTTCTGGGATGGGATGCTCTAATAGTGAATGTTACCCTCTGGTAATTTGTCACATAGCTATTGAACATGGCCATAGAAATAGTGTTTTTTTCCCATTGAAAATGGTGATTTTCCATAGCTATGTTAGTTTACCAGAGGGTATGTTTTGGACATAATAATTCACCAACGGGCAGAAGGACATTTGGCCAATTCCCATGATCCAGTGACGTCCCAATGAAGTAATGACAGGATATGACAGTTTATATGTGCCATGAAATGCCTCGATTAAACATCCCATTATATAAAACAAATTAAACACCTGATATTATGATTCTTCATCAGACGTTGGGATGATATACCCAGTGAACATCGGGATTCTACAGTACATTGCGAATTGCACCCCTTCGAAACAAAATGAGCCATTGATCATCGGAGCTCCACCCAGTGTAGACTTGTTCAGTGGTTGCATTCGGGACCTCCGCAAATGCCACAAGCCTTGCCACAATAAAATCACAAATGTGATTCTGGATGATTCATCGCCATACAGAGTCTCACTTCCAGCCCATGATGGCAATATGTAAATAGGACTGACGGCTAACAGCCATTAAGACGGTACACCCATCCCAGTTCTATACAACAAGTGAAGAAAAATCTGGAAACAAAACGCTGCCATATGCGACGTCTTCAAGCAGGCCCCTACTCAATGGTCTGAAAATGGAGTACACCATTCCATCCGCTGGTTAATCATCATTTTCCCCATTCAAATAGCCACACATTGGGCTAAATCCTCCATTTCAGTCGCGCCCAATCATCAGGTTGTTGACATATATATAATTATTCCAATAAATCCAATTTAATACTTTTAAGTCCAAGTACTGTCCCATTGATATACAAGTTATATAAGATATTCCTGAACCTTTCTTCGAGATACACTAAAAAGTGCTCAGAAACGGAAAAACGCTCATTTCCAAAAAAACTATAAAAGCTTTTAAAAAGTGCTCATTTGGTTGTTCATTTTGTTGGGCTCCCCCACATGTTCAAACAGCCGGATCCGCAAGGATTCTTGCAACATACACTGACACATTCACACTATGCTTGGGATCACGCTACTTGGGCTCCCCACAACTTCAAATTCACTTGAATGGGCCGAACTAGACACTTAAGCTATTTGGGAGGCAAATATCAGTAGTGTCCGTACACTTTTTAAATTGTGCCGCCTGATTGCACGAAATGGCGCCCCGATTGCGGTGTACCAAGTTGTCCAAAAAGACAAAGAATGTCAAAAAACTGACAAGAGGTGTAAAATCAAATTCTTTTGAGCGTGGTCGCAATGTGCATCCTCCCCAGGCAGGAAGCATCAATTAGGAAATAGCTTCTGATTTAGATACAAAGCTCCTTCCAGGATTGGCCTCAATTAGCATGAGTGCGGGCCAACTTAGTGGATATTTCCAAGAGTTTATTAATAATAGATCCATGTGTAAAACGGGTTAGAACCCAAACAAGTTCTCATATCCATTGAAACCACCAAAAAGTGCGCAGACCCTCAAAAAACCGTCAGGGATGGCAGAAAGTGTATCCAACCAAGGGTTTGCCAGTAAAAAGTGTTACAATGGAATCTCCAAGTTCGTATTCCACCTTCATCACAAGCTTAGTCATAGTCAAAGAAACATCACCAGCAGAGGGTGTCGACTCCTGGTCTTTCGACTCACAAAGTCAATGAAAATGCCATTTGCGCCACGGAAGCCAGCCTCCAAGCCCACAAGCCCAGGGTATACCCTTGCTAAAGCTCTGGGCTGGACATGGTCTATGGCAGCCAGAGGGTCATCCAAAAAATTGAGGACTGAATGTCCCAAGATTGTTCGACCATCCAGCAGGTCTCGTATGATATGGTTATGTCCTACATGAGTGTTGCCAAGCAGAAATGGAAATCCACCAATGTTTTTTGTTTCTGTATCGGAACTTCAACACATGGAATTTACAAATATTTACAATAGAACTTTAGAAACATATTCTTGCACACAATCTCTTTCTCTCTCTCTCTCTCTCTCTCTCGCTCTCTCTCTCCGTCGCCCAAGAATATGTTTCTTTTTTTGGGGGGGACCATGTTCGATAATTTTCTGGATGATAGATTGAGTTGGTCCCCATAAAGGCCCCTTACCAATCTAAAGCCCCACCAATATCAGTCCCCTCCAACAACAACAAAAAAAACAAACAAAAAATGTAAACATTAGAAAAAAAAAAAGAGGAAAGGGGCCCAGCTTTTGTCAAAGTACCCCTCCCAAAAAAGTGTGATAACGGAACCATACATGACCTTATATCACCATATGATATTCTAATCATCATATAATCACGAAATAATCACCATATAATCACCATATAGTTAACATATAATGACCATCAAAAACCCTAGCTGTTACCGCACACCTCGATCCTCGTCTTGGGCGCCAGCGAGACAGCCTCTAGGCTTTCCCCGCTGTCCGAAGCAAAGGACTCGTCGTCGTCAAAGTCACGCCACCTGGGGATTTTGCAAAGCACTGTTCACCTATCATGTCGACTCATATCTATCAATCTATCTATCTATCTATTTATCTATCTATCTATCTATCGATCGATCTATTTATTCATCTATCTATCTATCTATCTATCTATCTATCCGTGTGTGTGTCATAGTTGGTTTAATGTATATTATTATTGGTATTGTTATTATGAGTATGAGAATTGGTATGTGCTTAAATACCACATATTTTGAATTTGTAAAACACTGTATATGTACATAGTAAATCATAGACACCGATAATATACATATTATATATAGATATATATAGTATATATATATATATATTTATATGTATGTATGTGTGTGTTATGCTAATATGACATACAGTTGAAGATTGATACTAAATACATCATATTTGCATGCTTTACAATACACATATATGCATGATTGTGAAGATATATTATGTTATATTATGTATTATATTAAATATTAAATATTAATATGATGACAATGATGGTGCTGATGATAGTAGATCAATAGATAGACATACCTATATGTGTATAGAGTAAAACAATAAACAATATACAGAGGATATATAGATATATAATATGTATAATTACAAAGACCTGTATTTGATATGTGATTGCACATATGATTATATGTTTTTAAATGTTTATGTAGAAAGATTCCATGTTGTGAACAAAGTGAACAACATGGTCAACAAAAATATGCAAATCCAAGCAGCTCATGTAAATTTTCTGACTCCTCTATCGCTTCCTGTGGGGCCGCAGCGGTCCAGTGGTGCAGTTGTTGTGGGGCCTCATCCTCTGTCAAATTAATATCGCTATTGAACAAATCATATTCATGAAAAACAAGCGGCAGTTTCCATAGCTATGTTGTTGTAGTTCGGCGAATATCCATAGCCAAAGTGTAAACTCCATCTGGGTCCCTGAATGAGACGTTGACTTCCTGATTCTTCAAAACATCTTCAAACATGGACTTGCAAGGAGGCACCTATTTCTCTCGCACCGGAATCTAAGTCTATCATCATGTGCTTGCGATTGTGAAGGGATATTGACATTGATATAACTGCAACCCTCCACGCCCAACATAATAGTATTTTCATTGACCTGCCGGCCCGGGATCCTAGGTATTTAATAGCACCCTGCAAAATAAAGAAAGCAAAATCGGCAGATTACAATAATAGCAAGGCACAGTCTCTATCTGTTCGGGGTGTGCTAGAAAATGCAGGTCCACATCTTTTCTTGCATGCTACCCCCAGATCCCCCGGCACATGCCCCGTAGAAATGGAACAACAATTCAACATGATTCACCCCTCCAAATGCTCCAAGATGCCATCTTCACCTTGGCAAATGGACATTCCCATGGGCTAGGATGGATCGTCAACCCCTTCAGGGTGACGGACTTGGCCCCTGAGCCAAAGTGAAGCGATTGAAGGCCAGCATGGCCAGCATGGCATCGAACCCCAGCGATGAAGTCCTGAATTCATGATTTTTGCTATGGTTTGCTCAGAAGCTGTCTATGAACCTTACTCAGTGGGGTTGGGTCCTTTACAACATTTAGCCACCAAGAGCCGGCCCCAAAAACATGCGAATACATAAATACATACTAATAATTACTAATACTCTCTAATACTGCAAATGAAAATGCTCTTGGAGACCGGTACGCCCCTTCGAAATCAAAGCTGGGAATCTCCAATCCGACCTTTCAAGATATTTGAAGCGCCATGGGCGCCACAGTCAACGGTGAAATCGAGCAATATCACCAAGTTCCAGGCGGAAACGGACGCACGCTTTCCTGCCTCTGCATGGGACCTGGGGGGTCTGGCCCTGGAAGCAAAATGCGTGGAGTGAAACGCATCATATTTTGGTGGCGCTGATATGCGCTGATTTTTTCTTGGGAAAGAACCTTGCTTTTCCAAATTGATTGCACTGATTGCATGTTTCGACTTACTTTATATATTTTTTATGTTTTTTTAGATGTATGGATGCGTCGCCTTGCCAAAAACTCCATTTGAAGATCTCAGTTGGGCACTTCAGCTGTGCCTCCTTAGAGGCCTTCAACTCCTGGGGAGCAAAACCGAGGATGGACAACGGCCAACCCATGGAGGCGGCAATCCTCAAAAAAAAAACTCCGAGCCATTCGTTCACAGCAAAACTGAAACTGCTATAGTTCTACGGAAATGAAGACTTCTTAAGAGGCATGGGAAATAATGAAATCAAAGCTGATTCGTTAAACATTTGCATACATTTATGTATATATATATATATGTGTGTGTACATCTGTGTGTATTGCACGCACATTCATTTGCATATGAATGTGCATCTAGATGTGTTTGCATATTTATTTAAAAATATACATAAATATATATATATATACACATCATATACATATCTGAGAGGGTCAATCAGTCGTCAAACGAAGGGTCTGTTCCCCCTATTTTGTCCTGTTCTACTTTTGCCATGTTGCTGTTCAGTGTCACCTCAGCTGTTCAGGACCTTCCAGGTGCCACTGCATCGAATGCAGTAAGGCTCCAAAACGCAAAAGCGGCCAACTGCTAGACATCGAAAAAGACACGGCCAAAATCCATTAAAATATCCACTTAAATAACACATATGTAACATCCCAAAACATGTTAGAACATGTTAAGCCATGATACTTATGAAAGAAGACCTTGCAGTACGCCTACAGCCGGATACAGCCGGAGGTGATGACTTGGTTCCGCACATTCTCTGCTTTCACGGTGGTCAGCTGCTGGGTGGCCTTGCCACGATCTTCCCAGGTGACTGGCTGAAAATGGGGATTTACCTAAAACTGGTGATATTCGCGGATTTTCATGGGAATATTACCAATATACATCAATATACATCTATAGCATATATATATATATATGTCATACATGCATATTAATATACTAATATACGATAACTATAGTTGGAATCCGATTATATCTGGCTGACTCAAAACAATTCAGAAATTCGCCAACTTGAAAATAGTTCTTTGCACATAGCTAAAATTTGCGAGCTATCGAGATTATTCCCCTTATATACAATTCCAATACAATTCCATCATTCCAGTGACATCACGATGTGAGGTCATAACATAATTTCTCCAGACTATATTGGATAATGTAATCCTATATGTCATCATCATCATCACCATCACCATCACCATCATCATCATCATCATCATCATCATCGTCATCGCCGTCGTCGTCGTCGTCATCGTCATCGTCATCGTCGTCATTGAACAAGGGTTTGGAACACAGCTCATGTGGACCCCATTGATAGTGCTGTGTTCAAAGTCACTCGCAGGGGTTGATGTTGATGGTTGTGAATGACTCCTTCATCAGTTCAAGAGGCCCGTGTGAAAGACTGCCGAGAGCCCAGTGGTTAGGGGCCAACCACTGGGATGAGAAGCAGCATACATCCCTCTACTTCTAATGAACAACTTAGTCCCGATGGCCGATGGGACCCTATGGGATGTATGTGGAATAAGTTGTCTATCCCCGTATATCTCTGCCGGGAAAGTTGTATGATTTGTAATTATTAACTATATAGTGTGTGGGATATTAGAACTAGTAAGAGGAAAACCCTTGTGTTTGAGGTAAGAACTATGATTTCAAAGGTTTCCTCCAATAGGGCCACCCCCCCTCAAACAAAAATATCAACCCGTTGATGTTCCCCTGCAGAAGATCTTGGGCTATGACGACATCCAACTCAGAGGTCCGGTTGTCCAATTCAGACCTGGTCCGGTTGTGGAACAGCCACTGTTGCTGAAGAAGCTCCAGACTATGGACCGGTCTTTTTCGGCATCTACCAAGAATGGCACCCCCCTCCAGCTATATATATATATATATACTGTAAGTTGGTCTGTGAGTACAGTAGGTTAATTCTATCGTTTGTGATAGCTATCTCATATATATATATATACAGTGGGGTTTAAAAACCAACTTATGACTGGGTCGCACCGAGTTGTATTACTGGGGAGGCTTGCATTAGGGAGGGCTAAATCCACGTGAAATCTAGTGGGCACATGCCCCTAACTTGACCCCTGCCCTTGTGAGCCAGGGATGTCGTTTCCTTGCCCTTCGTGCAACCACTGACAGTGTCACGTCCTCATGCCCAAAGACTTCTGGCATCTTCCCATTCACTCATTTACACGGTGAAACCAGCAAATAACCTACACATATCTATAATTGTAGGGTAAAAGTATGTAAAAGTGCTGGTATTAGATATGCCCATATTTCTGCAACAGAATTCTGGATAATTCTGGAGGAAACTATGCCCCAGATTGGACTCACGCCAATTTTTAACACCTGCTGTACAGATTGGCATTTGGAGTTTTTTTTTGCCTGCGGACCGAAAACAGTGCTCCTAAAACCAACGTTTTTGAGGTGGGGTGGGCTATTAACGTTTTTGGTCCTAGTAATTTCTAACTATATACGTTCCTAACATTTTGAAGAATTTTTGTGATTATCACAAATTACAACTAAGTACGTTTCTTGATAATACGTGATTAGCTTTTGTAACAGTTTTCAAGTACACTACTACCATTTGTATAGCAACTTGCAAACTACGCTGCTATCTTCTCAAACAACTTTCAACTACGCAAAAAACTTTTGTATCACAATTCGCAACACATATTTGTCATACAGGAACAATTATATAATGCTGCATGACAGGCTGCATGGTCTGCATTAATGACTTACATTTCCCAACAGCTTGTCATCCCAAATCTTGGCAATGGAGGTGCATCAACCTCAATGCCATCTTGCAACAGAAGACCATCGAAATCATCGAAGCATTGAAACGCATCTTCTGAAAAAAAACTTGTTCTCCGCATGCACCAAAATGTTCCAATGAAAATGAGCTGAGACCGTGGTAAAACGCGAAAACAAACAAATTTTGGAATCCATTCTGGGATGTTTTTTACAACATAAATTTGCCTTTCGCCATAGTTCCAAACTCATTTAAAACAAAAAAACACAACTGTGCTTTTACGAGCACGGTTTCGGGTCCGGCGGGATGTTTTTGTCATACCTTCCGGTAATCAACATGGGAATGGAAAATCCCCTATTGATGGGGGTTTTATGGTTTTGCTGCGAACATCTCCTGTAAATGGGCTGCTTGAAGATGGGCCCCTGCCCACTTTCCTGGCCTCATCCATTTGAGTTGGCCTTCTGTGTTGGCCTCATGTTCTTCCAAACCTGCAGGGCTGAGGCTGAGCAGGTCTGGGCTAGCTGGGATAGCAGGTCTGGGGACTGGTAACGGTTCCATACCCTTCCCCGGAATCATTGAAGCTTGCTTCCCCTAAACTGGGATTCTGTCCTAATTGAACATCACCAACTAATACCAACTCTACGGGATATAATCTCGCTGAGATATTTGGGGCTGATGTTTAAATCCAATAAAATCCCCAAAAATTACACTTGCCAACCCCTCATCCTGTCATTCTTGGGATCAAATTGAAGAAAACAACTGGAACCTCTTGCAGTCGGTGGGTGCTTACCACCTCCATTTGGCAACCGTTCCAACCATGGTGCAACGCTTTCTCCGGCCAGGAGGCTTTCAATCCGGTCTCGAAGCTGCCAATCCTTAGACACAGCCACCATTAGACTGTTGGGATCATCATCCAGCTTGAAAAAAGTAAAAACTTCCCACCAATATCCTGTAAATAGACATACGCGCATATATATATATAATATAATATAATATAATATACTATAATATAATATAATATAATATACTATAATATAATATAATATATTTATATAGGGGGAGAGAGGGAGAGAGAGAGAGAGAGAGAGTTCACGTTTTAATTGTATATGCAGAATATACATATTATACAAATATACACGCACATCAAATCCCCATTGGCCAGAATATCTCGGTACAACGCACCACATCCAACGACATCAAACCCCAACAAATCATTCTGGCATGGGCTAACATGATGTGCAATACCAAGTTGTGTGACTCTTCCAAGCTGCCTACTTCTGCAGCCCAGTTGGTGGCTATAGCCCATAGGCTTGTCTCATGATAATATATATATATATATGTATATATAAAGAGAGGGTGAGCGGGAGAGAGATCTATGTCATTCCATTTCTACACGTATCTACACACAAACAAACAAACACATACTCACACACACACATATATATATATATATACACATGAATATGTATATATATAGATTTATTTATTTATTTACTTAAACATGCATTATTATTATTGTTATCATGGTGATGATGATTAATTATTGTTTGGCCTAGATCCGTGGTGACTCATCATTCCATGGGATGTCCATCACCCATTGCCCCACGTTGCGAACTGGGTTTCCCTGACGCGCTTCTTGACCTCTGCCACCTTCTGATCAGCCTCTTCCACCTGAGGCCGAAGCTGAGGGAAATCTGGTTTATACAAATGGTTTATCCAGAACCCAAGATTATATAAATAGTCAATCATGATTGTCATACATTAACCCGTTGCTACCCTCTGGTGTCATCAAAATATGGCTTTATCGAACACACCAGGAGGATACAAGTGAATATCCTTTCATATGGGGCTCTAGGATGTCTAGGATTCCAAACCAACCCAAACCGCAGGTCAAATATTGGTGAAGGAACTTCTTGCAATAAAGAGATTGTTCAACACCCAGCAGAAAAGAGGAATTTGACATTTTACAATAGATATAAGGATGAACATTGAATGGAATTTGCCCTAACGATATGGAGCTACACACCACATCTCAACCCATCATCCCCAATGATTAAAAACATGCTGTAGCATTTGAACGCATTCCTGGCCATCCAGGAAACTTTGAGAATGGACACTCTCGATGTACCTCAATGTTCTATAGGAAAATCATCCAAGAAAAGTGGGTTTCCATTCCATCAGTACCACATCACAATCCTGAAAGATACCAGCAAAATGATCTTTCAGGATTCCTGGCCATTCCTGGGAGTACTGATGTTGGGCCAATGGCATCGTACCCTGAGGGGCAACTTTGGAGCAAAACGCCGGAGCGCCATTGGTGAAACTTCGTAGGACGCCAACGTGGACGAGTTCAAAACATTTGCCCGCTAGGCTAGGACATGTGATATGTAGAATATATATATATATATATATGTATATTATGTATATTATGTATATGATGATGATGATGATGATGATGATGAAATCACCAAATTAAATAGACAAACAATCTGCAAGCTGGAGTTGATATTCCATAATTCCATGGCTATGTCTGTTTACTAGAGAGCATCCTCTGACCTGCCAAGACCCCAATGAGACTACTATGAAACTTGATGAAGTATAAACTTCTTGCAACGTTGGCTATAGGCTATAGTGCAAATCCCTTGTTCCAAGGGTGTCACGCAGTGCAGAGACGATGTTCCTCTCTGGTCCTGTTTGGTGTGTGAAATTTTCAGTTGCGAACTTAGCCTTTGTTGTTTTTGTCACTAGCCCTCAAGATTTGCTCAAGTTCCCACACCACAAATCCACCATTTCTAGCCTTGCTTCTACTTACCCACTGGCCACACTTTGCTCCCTCTGGGGAGAGCCAGTGAACAAGAACAGCATGTACAGTGCAAGTGCCGACGAAGGTCAGCACACGCAATTCACCAAAAAGCTCGTCACGCCCAGCGGCCAAGGGAACCACGACCTCAATTAGACGGTTTCAAACAGGGCCCTTTTTCGCTAGACCACACAGCAGTCAAAACATTGGGCCCATTATGCCAAGTGGGCTTGACTTACAACCATGGCCATGGGGATTCAATGAAATTGTGTAAGCTGAAATGGAAGTTCAAGGGCCGAAATAGCGGACATAGATGCTATGAACTTGCTTTCAAGCATGTGGATGTGTACAGCAGGTCTGAACCCTGCTGACTTGCAGCAGCAGATCAGTACCGCCACAGGTTCACTATGTTTCGTGGCTAATTCCAATGATGGGAAACCCAACCCTTGGACTTCAGGTCCAAGGTAGAACAACATGCAGCCACGGGACGATGTGGCAACCGATCAAGAGACTTTGCTGTCAAATTCTCCAGCGGTTATACTTTTGGCAAAATCCTCAGTTGCACGGCTGTTGGCACTCTGCACCTTGTCCCATGCGACCAGTGACATGGGACCTCCATACAGGCTTCTTTTGAATGCTCCACACCAAGTCCGACTCTTCCAGGACTCAATGGATTGGTTTCAGGGAAAAATCTTAACCGGAAACCATTGCTTTTAAGCCCAAAGCATAGGGTTTTTCCCTGCTTTTTTTCCCTTCAACCAATGCTGTTCCCACGACTTCCAGCTCACCCTTCCCTGCCAGGATGCATGAAGACTGGCCAGCCGCAGCTGATAACACGCCTGCACTCTTCAGTCAGCAACCGCTATGACCCTGTCAAACATCATCAAACATCTGAGGATTTTTGTGCCTACATAGTGCCATAGTGTCAACTTGTGGGTGATATTTACCTCCTTTGGTTGGATTCTTTGATGGTTCAGATCTTGCAACATATGTCGCACAGATCCCCGAGCCCGTTCTGCGACGGCCTTTCGCACCCTGGCCCATGCCAAGGCCGTTTCGGAGATGTAAACCTTTGAGGTTCACGGGATGCTGATCGGATGGCTGTCTGAAAGTGTTGGATTTGTTGCACCATAAAAACCATTCAATCTCAATGAGGAAAGGACCATATTCTGTTGGAGTCATTTTGAGAAAAGTCCATGTCAACACCGCCAGGGGAACATATTCTGCATTGCTGCCATGACTGTGTATGACTGTGTCATATTGTGAGAGCACAAACGAAATGCATGAACAACAACCAACTACACATCAAATCTATGTCGATTGCTGGATCCGAACTTTTTTTGAACGCGCCTTCTCCTTCTGATGTGCCGTTTGTGCAAGTCGCCTCAGCGCGGCTGGGGATGTGGCGAAGTTCCGATCGAAACAGGGGGGATTCCATTGAAGGGTTGCTGGTCAAAATTGGGCACGTCTAAAATTGGATGATGGACACAAAACATGACCTCTGCAGTCTCCTCGGCCTTAAATTTTGATTCATACCTTAACTAAATTTGAAACGGTATTTGTGCTCTAGTCACACCTCAAAATAAGCCTTATTTCATCAAAATAAGCCTTATTTTTTCGTGACGGACACCTTGACGGACACTTTGACGGACCGTCAACCTCACTGTCGACCTCTCCGTCAACCTCCCCGTCACAAAAAGAGAACCCGTCAACCTCACCGTCAATCTCTCCGTCAACCTAACCGTCAAGCATTCCGCACGCGCCACTAGAAACCTCAAATTCATACGTTTTAAATTTAGATAATTCATACCTCAATGACTCACTGGACGCTGGCAGATGGCAACACCTGTACTGCAGCTCAGCGACTTTGATAAATTCACCTGGCATGGAAAGGTTGCCATCAACACGGATGGGATTGCTGCGATCTGCTTGAGAGACGTTTGTTCATCAAACAAGCTCATAGGATGAACTCATGGTAAATCACGACACCGACAAAATGATCATGTTCAGAAGCTTTGGGAAAATTATATGCCCTCTGGTAATTTAACATAGCTACTGAAAATGACCCATTTATAGTTGATTTACCTATTAAAGATTCTGATTTTCCATAGTTATGTTACTTTACCGGAGGGTATATAAATAAGATTTATCCGGACAATGGAGTGTTCGTTCCATGGCGGATAGGAATCTTTCTGCGAAAGGCATGACATCTTCCCCACGGGAGGATCTCAGGAATTTGGTTGGTGATTAAGATCCAACGAGAAAATATATCTATCGAGAACATATTGCATGGAGAAGTTGCATGAACTATAATTTAGACTATAATCATGGGTAAAAACATAGTGTGTACCATTGCATTTGGAATAAACGCGTGCAACATGTTTTGTCCACCAAACACCGGTAGGATTGGTACCTACGCGGAAAACAAAAACTCGCCTGAGCTTGGGCATCTTTTTCCATTTGGGCTTCCATATGCTGAGCCCGCAGTTGATAGGCTTCAATCTCCTCATCGGCTCTTTCCTCAATGCCCTGGCTGCGCAAAAAGCTGCGCTATGCTGCGCTTTTGTGGGCCTGGGTTCCTTTCCTTCTTGGAAACGTCAACATAATCCTCGTCATCATCATCCTCCTCCTCATGATCGTCATCCCTGAATCTCAACCTCATGCATAAGGCGTCATTTCATGTCAAATCCTAATTTTCGATCTGTATGTTCAACAAATCGGTCAAGTTCCTTCGAATCCCAAACCTGGATCGAGGAAATGGAACCCCGCGGCCCCAAAACCTATCCATGTTTCTTGCCATGTGAGGAAGCACAAGCAACATAATTAGGATCTAACAGGGATGTTTCATGATGTTCCATCATTCCCCAAATATGAATGGTCCCATGCGGATGTTTTTTTGTACCAAAAAGTCCTTCAACCCTTCACTCCCCACAACGTGGTGCCCCCCAGTTATAGGTTGGTTTATACCCATGAACTAGTTCCATATATCTATAGCTTAAGGTCCTTGGTATTCTTGGAGATTGATCTTCACCTTAGTTTTTTCGACCTGGGGCACTCGCCATCCTTGCCATCCCTCCGTCCCCGTTCCATGGTTCCATCCGATTCCATCCCCACCTGGATCTGTGCCTTCCACTGCTGCGCCGCCTTCAGCGTTTGCTCCGCGTGCTGCTCCTCGCTCTTCGCCACGTCCACGGCGGCCTCGTAGCAGGCGAAGACCTGGTCCTCGCTGTGGCGCTGGCACCTGAGGACGCACATTTCGGTGACCTGGGAGCTGGGGATGTCAGCCCCCTTTCAGTGGGTTTATCTTATATATAATATATATATATATATAAATGTTATAACAGTGGGTAACTATTTATACCTGTAAATAAGTATTTCAGTATATTATATTTATTTACTGTATTTACTGTATTTATGTATATCTGTGTGTAACTGGGATATAACATGCTATAAAACGTTTTAAGTTATAACATGTCATAAAACAATATAGATATGGTTCTTACATGTTCTTACATGTTCTTAACCAGTTAGTGGGATGATCCTCCAAGTGCCCCTGTGCCACCAAGTTTGGCAGCCCAGGTGCTCAACAACAACGTGAGAGCAGTTATCGACCAGCTCCTTACTTCTCACCTGGAGCCAGGGTTAGGATGCCCCACTTCACACTGGAATCCAGTCAAATCAACGTGGCGGCTTGTCAAAAACAACATCACACACCAGCCTTTTTACTTGTGTAGAACAGGCTTGGTGTTTTCAAGATAAATCTTTTCCAGGCCATGTTCCCAGCTTTTGTTGGGATCACGCATGGAAAAAATGCAACTAGCAACCACAAAGTATCCTACTACTTCAACAAAGCAAACCATTCATTTGCACAAATCTGACCTGCATTCGCCACAAACTTCGTCTAACTGCAAAGTAAGTACACGCAAGTCGGACGGTATGGGAATACATATCATGGATACGATGACATGAATCATGGATAAAGACACGCAATTTACAAGATCATACTATGGCAAACTCACTAATTGCCAATAATAGCCCCCAAACTCACCAACAAATGGATGGGATCAACTATCACCAAAGTGGAGCACCAGTGCCTCCCATATTTTTCCACCATTTCTTTTAAACCCACTATCGCTTCCCTGCACCACGTGCCTCCAACTGACCCGTGCGTTCTTTCATGCTTTTCGTGACTGCTTCAAAGGCCACCTGCCACCAAGTTGGATGGGTGTCTCTGAAACCGGGGCATACCCCGGTAATAGCATTTTAATGCATTTTAAATATCTTAATAGGAAATATGATGTTGTGGCGCTGCACTATTTTCAGACAAACCTGACTGTCACAAATCTACTAGTAATCTAGCATCCAATTATTGAGGGAAATATTTCAACTGGAGCATGCATTGTATGGAATTTGATCTCGATTTTGGATGTCTTGTAGTGAAACATATATCCCTTCATCGAAATAATGTATATTATATAGATGTATACAGATAGATACCAAGTGCCTTGCTGGCAAAGTCAAGTCTCCAAGTTTGTATCTGAACTGTCCATATCAGACAACAAGACATAACAAAGCTTCACATAAATTTCCATAAAATTCAGGACAATTAAATTGCCTAGAATTCACTCATGTGAAATGGCTATATTGGGATGTTATCCCTACGAAGCACACAGCCTTCAGTCGTTTCTCTGCGGTCGCAGCTCCCCAATCTTCCGCCTGGCGCCGTTCCTCGCAGCTACGAATCTGCATGTCCATGCTGGCACGGTCTGCACGCCAGAGCTCCATGATGGATTTCATCCTGGCATGGTGGAACTCTAAGGAACTATGTGGAAGTCTACCGAAAAAGAATGAAAAAGACCTAGACCCGACCCGTAGCCATAAAAATGATGTGTTTTACCTAGAAAATTGGAGTATGTTTACCAGTTTTGGGTGGTATTTGGAGAGCCTAGTTGTTTTAATATAATAATCACCAAAAAAATGACCACGGATCAATTTATTACCATTTTAGTTGTTTTTTCCCAATATTTTTCTATAGGGGAATGGTTGAACTGTTCACATTAATGTGGCAAAGCCAATGCAATTTTTTGCTAACCGTTTAGTTTCGGAGGCTTTGTGCAACCCAGCCCTGGTGAAATTAGGGATAGTTTATTGTTGGGTTTGCCACAGTATGCGTTATAGTGCTGTTTGACTCTCTCTCTCTCTCTCTGAATATGTGTGTATATATCTATGCATATATATATATATAAAACAGATAGAGAGAGAAATTGTATAAGACTGTCAAATGAGTCCTATAAAACAAAAATAAACCATCCCCCAGTCATCACCATAAATATATAGGTGGTATAAACTTTGCATTCCCAGTCATGGCTGGTATTCCCATGGCATTCTTGATCTTTCGCAAAAAGTAAAATCTCCCTGCCCCCGTCAGTCTTCGCTTGCATCGCATCATGAAGCTCTTGGTATTTGCTATGGAGCTCATCCAGCTCCACCTGCGCTGATCCAACAGATCCGAAAAACGGAAGAACCAGAGACGGTCCCATGGTCCCAGGTGTGATAGATGGAATATCCCCAAAGATATATGGAATATATGAAATGTCTCCATAATATATATATATATATATTGTGAATGGATGCTAACATGGTTCATTTGCCAACCCCAGATGGCTGAGCACAACCACAACAAAAGGTTGCCTCTGGCCACTGGACGCACCCGAGCAACGGGCCCTAATGGCTGCCGCTGAGGGATTATTCACACCCCCCTCGCCGATGACATGGTCCCATGCCATCGGTGACAAAACAATTAGGAAGCCCTCTGCGCTTTGGAACATGCCGTAGCTCCCCTCCAACTGGTGCCGTCAAGCTTGTGTTTTTGGCTTGCAGCCCCCCTCCAAGCTGGTGCCATCAGTTCATGATCCAACCTCGTTCAGTGGCCGAGGGGTATGAGCCACCAAGCCCCCCTAGTTAGGTGCTCACTGACCACAAGTTCTGCGGCCTCTTTCTATTTTGGGCCTTTGATCTCATATCCGGCTCAGTAGAGCATTGCGGACTGATAACCTGTGAATGGATGCTAACATGGTTCATTTGCCAACCCCAGATGGCTGAGCACAACCACAACAAAAGGTTGCCTCTGGCCACTGGACGCACCCGAGCAACGGGCCCTAATGGCTGCCGCTGAGGGATTATTCACATATATACATGTGTATATATATATATATATAATTATATATATATATATGCAATCTCATCAAATGGAATCTCCCCACTTAGATTCTATAATGGATTTTTTGTCGGGGTCACAGACCACTCAGTCGGATGCACATCCATGATTCCTGGGCAAATTCAATGCCAATTCCACTGGCCGAATGGATGTCCGTCCTCAAGTGATATAATATGATATCGATTGATATACAATAACCACCTGAAATCCGCCCACACCGCTTTGGCGGTGAAGGCGTGCTTATTGGGGGGCAACAGCAACACTAAATGCTCAATGACATTTGTTAATATAGCAGTCGCTATATCAGCTTTAGCTGGGGGGGGGGCAAAAACGGTTTCGCACCGAGACCAGACCCAAAAAACGGTTTCGCACCGAGACCAGAATACGGTGGTGTTTTCGACATTTTTCGAGGATTTTTGGGTGTCTGAGCGCAAGAGGGTATTGAAATGGAATTTTGGGTCATTTTGGTAGCTTTCCGGCAATGGAAAAACGGCCAAAAATGAAAAAAACATTGTACATAGCAAGATTTTGCAGGGTTTTTGGATGCCAGAGCATTGAAAACACTGCAAAAACAAGTGTTTTGGACTGACGTTATAGCAAAAAACGTGTAAATTACCGTATGCTTGACTGGAAACATTACAAAAACACTGTCAAAAGCAATGTTTTGGAAGGATTTACTGCCTTTATGGCAAAAAACGTGTAAATTACCGTCTGTTTGACTGGAAACATTGGAAAAACACTGTCAAAAACAATGTTTTGGAAGGATTTCTTATTGAAACTTCTTAGCTTGAAGAGCCCCCACGGGGGAAAACCACCCTTAGCCCCTCTCACGGACCGAAATAAACCTGCGGTGTGGGCGGCCACCCCACGCGAAGCGGGGTGAATATACATGTATTCTGGATAATTCAGGCCATTCTAGGATAGTCACCCCATCTATATAATATATATATATATATGTATTACTATAGTACTTTTCACAAACGTCACAGTGAGGTTGTTAGTTGATCCAAACATTCTTGTAGAATCATGGGTCTTTCGGAGTTGTGTTTTTTTTTCAGCTTCAGAGAGTCACGCAATGGAGTCACGCAATTGTGGACTCACTGACCCAGCTGTTTTTCAATTCTAATTGGTAGTGTAAATTCGTTCATCTATCCAATTCTGGCTGTCAATGATCTTTGAACATCTTTGAACCACACACAAATATGCTCGTCAAAGTGGGTCATCCCAAGTTGAACCCCAAATCCAGTTATTAACGTATTAACATCAGTTTTCCTATTGTTCAATAGCTACTTAAGGGGGTATAATTAACCCATTTCCAAACAAACCCATATATTAGATTATTCGCTATATCCCATGATATTCGCATAAAATGAACGTTATATCCTCTATACTTTATGGATCTTTAATGTTTTTTTTGGAAAAAAACAACGCAAATCCCAGCAGGCTGCGCCTGCAGAAATTTTCGCTTCGCCTCCGTCTCCAGGCGGCTGCTTTGAGCCTCTCCGATGGAAGTGATGAAACCTCGGCGTTTCGGGGATCTTGGGAACCCCGAAGCCTTTTTGTTGGGGAACTCAGTGACTCAGTGAATCATAAAAGTCAAAAGAGTGTGTGTGGGTGTTTGTGGGTGTGTAAATATGATCGCACCATAATTGCTCCCAAAAAATTATAAATCGGTTGAAATCTCATCGCTGTTGGAAACCCCCAAGCCCTTCAAAGAGATTGGGTCCCGCATAGACACCCAACGGTCGCATCCGGCACAATCTGAGGCACTATCCAGGGCTTTGGATTCCAATTCTTCGAGTTTACCTTGGAGGGTCAGCTTCACAGCACTGGACAGGGTATGCCACTGTAAGTGACTCAAGACCATCTGGGTCCCTGTAGGAAGCGGCATTGAGAGGTGCAGTATGATACAGTAGCCTCCCAGGTCCCAAAACCAATAACCAAGCTCGTATCTGATCTAACTTCCCTTGAGTGTCTAAACAAACTGACACACAAAAAAAAGGTCGAAGCTGAAAATTGATCATGTAAACTTGCTTGGTGCCTGGTGCGGTAGCAAACCACTCACGACTGGGTGTCGGCCCATTTTAATTACATGGCGGATCGTGGGTAGGCAAAGAAAAATCGTTTGTTTAGCTCGGCAGTGCGTTCCTTCAGCAAAATAAAACATAAACACATGTTATGACCTTGAACCATCTTGAACCTTGTTACAACCTGATTATTATAAGCTTACATGTATTACCCACTCGCCGCGCACACACACACAAACACACACACACATACATGTATATATATGTATATATATATGTATATTATAGTATAGTATATTATATTATAGTATAGTATATTATATTATAGCATATTATATTATATTATATTTCATTGTGTTATACCATATGATGTTATATTATATTATAGTTTATTATATTATATTACATGATAATATATATATATATATTGCATATGATTCTAGATGATATTCAAACGGTAATACAATATAGTACAATACTACAACAACAACAACAGCAACAACAGCAGCAACAACAACAGCACATATATATATATATGTGTTTTAATATATTATGTGTATGCATGCATGTCTATGTATACGTATGTGTATATATATATACAAATGTATATATGAACACACATACACATGGATACTTTATCTTTAAAACAACTAGATAAATACCATGTAGTTTTCTTCCCCAGCCCAGGTTCACCTTATGTCCAAGCGCAACCAAGGCGCGCTGTTCATTTCGTGTGTTCATGGCAGCTTCTTCTTCGATCCTGGAGGCATTCTGCTTCGCCAACTGGATCTCTTCAGCCATTTCTTCTCTGACCTCCGAAGAAAACGGCCGCCTTTTTTGGAGGCTCTGGCAATCCTAACTGACCTGTCGGTAAGCAAACCTGGCAATGGGAAATCTCCTATAAATGTGGGTTTTAATGGGAAACAAAAAACTATAAATGGTTGATGGATTTTCCGTTGAACACGTTTGATTACCAGAGGGTAAGACCGAGGAAATTTCAAGTTCCACGAATTTATCAAGACTGAAGAAACCTGAAGAAACCCCACATTTAGCAAATATCAGGGATGAAGCTTAAAAGGGATCATCTTCTATAATCGTATGCGAAGAAATATGGTATGTTTTTAAATCTGTTTCAATCATTTTCAAGAAATACAGCCGTGTCATAATTCAACCAGAAATCTCTCAAAATCCCATGGGTTCGGCCACCGGCCGTTCTCCCCCGCCTTGGCACAGAAAGCTTTTGCTTCTCCAAGGTGCCCTGTGGTCTGTGAGATCTTTTCAGCCAGTGCCTGGCAAAGTTGGTGGATCTCTCCGGGAGATCTTGGCATTTGTTGGCTGTTTCATAATTCCCTCTCCCTATTATTGAATATCCCCAAAAACCCTATTCTACCCCTATTATATTATTATGAAATGACCAACCAAATGAACATATATGAAAATCTTGGTTTTGTATTTCATCTCTTCATTTTGGGCCGCTTATTGGTGGTATCTGGTATTTAATATGCTTGAGGGATGTGATTACACTGATTGTACCTCACTGTTGGTCATTTTCTGCCAGCACATCTGTGACCAAAAGCGCCTCATCGCTACGCAAACGAAGCTGATACGTCAACTTTTCCAGATCCTGCCGACCCACACTGGACAACCAATGAGTTCTTCTCAGTTGTCTCATATCGTGCCACCAACTGACCAATCTGCAAACGGAAAATCACACAGCTATCGACAATTGCCCCATTTACTTCTTGCTTTCTGTCCGCTTAAAACCCCCACATAGTTCAATGACTTACCAGCCCATGTTCCCCCATTAAATCTTCATTATACAAGTCCCATGAAACTACCCTTACTTCCAGCGGTTAAATCATCCTTTTCTTACCATAACTAACATACCATTTACATCCATTACCACAACCCACGGACCATGGCACCATAAATCGCACCAGCCAAACTTTCCACCGCTCCTTGACTTGCTGCTTGGACTTCTCGTCGTGTAATTTCATCCGGGCCTGGTTTCGGTGGTTTTCGTTGTTTTCGTTGCAACTGTTTAAACTGGATGCTGCTTTCCGGTTCATGGGATATATCTAAATATGTAGTCTATATTTGTTGGGTGAGTTGAAACCTGATGATCTTGATGCTACTTGACAAAAAATGAGATGAAGATTTGCATGTTACATCAGCATCAGATTCTTCTGCCCGTCTGCGATCGTCTGCGCCTGCGCTTGGGTCCTGGTTGTTTGATGCATCTCTGCCACTTTGTCACAGTGCATCACCGCATGATGTCGTTCCGTCTCTTTCTGTCGGAGGCCTAGTGGCGCGTGGCAAACTGACAAAGTACTGTAAAGCGGACGAGGTTTTAAGGGAAAAATATGGGCAAATCATCTACATATAAATATAAATAAATTGTTATAATTTCACTGTTATACGTGAGTATTCCATGTGACATGGTCAGAACAAGGATTTCCCTCATCTTGGCAATCATGTTCACAATAAATTATCCCAAGCAGGTGGGGGAACAAATGGCAAAAAAATAGAACCACCAAAAAAGACAGACAGGCAAAATCCATTAAAATCCAGGAAAATCCTATATAAATTTTGCTTCTATCATTTTGATTCAGTTTGATTCATTTTGGTGCTAAATAAATGTATTGTGTGCAACCCTCAATATCAATCATTGGTCATGCTCTCACCGCCCAGCCCCCGACGAAAACAATGAGGTTTTCTTATGTTTTCTTCAGGAATTCGCTGCGGCTGAGGCCGGAACACGAGTTGGTTTGCAGCAAGATGTCCTCAACGAAGGCCTTGGTTTCGGCCTGTCTCGCTGCCACCTCCTTCTGCAACTTCTCCTGTGGTGAAGCCGTGGGCTTTCATGTGCCCCTGAAGAGTTCGGGATAACTACTGTAGTCATCCCAGAACACGCAACAGTAATCGAAGATAATCGAGGCATGAAACAGGGATGGAAATTGGATCCAAACCCATGGTCCATCCAGGTGAGGCAAGCCGCGCCTTGAATTCGTTGCGCTCCGAGCGGTGCAAATGGACCAAGGACTTGACATCAGCCCTGTGAGCTTTGAATGTGATATTCATGAGTTTTAATAGGATTTTAATTATATATTTTACATTTTACTGGTACCAACCGCCATCGGATCATCGTTTCGCCCGCCTCATCTGCCCGCAGCACCGCATCGTGCACCTGCGTCTCGGTCCAGGCGCTATGCTGGGCGGACTCCTCTCGGCTGCTGAAGACGCGCTGCTGCGCACGCCTAAGGGCGACCCGCTGCCCCTACTGGATCGCTGGGTGAAGGGAAAGGGGCCATGGATGTAAGGTGAAGATGACAAACAAGAGCAAACAAGAGTTGGCTTGGCATCATACCTCACTTAAGTCACTTGAATCGTTGAGGATTTGCATGAAGATGTCATCAAAATCCCTTGCGTAAGTACAATGATTGGAAAATAGCCTCTGTCTGGGAATTACGCAGAATACAAAATGTTTTTCTAGTTTGTGACCCAAAATGAGTACAGTAGGCAAGAGTCTCACTCTCAGTGGGTGTATATATACATATACTGTAAATTAATGAATATATATATATATATGTATATAATTACTGGACGTTGTACAAACATAGGGTAACAAGAATTAAATCACACAATGTCACATAATAGTATACAGTATAATGATGCTGATATAAGAAAAAAACATAAATATACCGTTACCGCAACTCCCGAATTTTATATAATGTAGTGCGTCCGTACGTCCGTATGTGGGTATGTGGGTATGTATGTATGTGTGTGTGTGTGCATGCATGCATGCATGCATGCATGCATGGATGGATGGATGGATGGATGGATGTATGGATGTATGGATGTATGGATGTATGGATGTATGTATGTATGTATGGATGTATGTATGTATGTATGTATGTATGTATGTACGCACGTATGTATGTATATGTATGTATGTATGTATGTATGTATGTATGTATGTATGTATGTCCGTGCGTACGTACGTACGTATGTACGTATGTAGGTAGGTAGGTAGGTTGGTAGGTAGGTAGGTAGGTAGGTACGTAGGTATGTAGGTATGAAGGTATGTAGGTATGTAGGTATGTCATACGTACGTACGTATGGCATGCATACATTCCATGCATGCATGCATATTTTTATGTAGATGTCTGTGTGTATCTGTGTATGTATGTATATATATGTGTGTGTGTGACACATATGTGTGTGCGTGAGAAAAGCTACCTAGTTCTAGAATGCACATGTTTGACATGTAATGTATATATATATATGTGTGTGTGTGACACATATGTGTGTGCGTGAAAAAAGCTACCTAGTTCTAGAATGCACATGTTTGACATGTAATGTGTATATATATATATGTGTGTGTGTGACACATATGTATGTGCGTGAGAAAAGCTACCTAGTTCTAGAATGCACATGTTTGACATGTAATGTATATATATATATATATGTGTGTGTGTGTGTGACACATATGTGTGTGCGTGGGAAAAGCTACCTAGTTCTAGAATGCACATGTTT